TTAAATTGTGATAATCAAGATTGGTGAATGCTTTTTTTTATCCGTCAAGCCACGGCTACAATGCCTTGTAGGCGGTCAAGGACTTGTAAAGCTGTGCCATACAGATTTTTTTCTTGATCGTCACCATCAACGTACTATGAAAATAAACTCTTTATTAATATTATTAATATTATTATTATTACTATTATTATTACTATGACATTCCGAACACTTTACGCGTTATGCCCGTGACAAAGTATAAATGGTTTCTAAAAGTTAAAGCACTATCAACACACACGCCAAGATCTTTTATGAGTGATACACGCTCTATCGGTATTTCGTCGAGATTCTATGTAAAATCTTGGGGGCACGGACGGGATTAGCTGAGTACTAAGCTTTCGGTATCAGCTTCAGTCGCTGTGACTGACTCCTGAAGTCTGGGAATGAAAAAAACAAATTAATTGAGAGACGATTTTCTTAAAAGTTTTTCTGCTCTGAGAAAGTTGGCGAGCGACAAAACAATAAATAAAATGTGCGTAAAAGTTGCGAACGTGTGTTACTGAGCGCTCAGACAGAGGGCTTCGGGCATTTCTAATTAAAGGCTGGAGTACTTACTTCATGCCCGAACTTAGAGGGCAGTGAAATTAGATCCCGACTAATAGAACGCTAATGAAGCTGGAATTGGCAGATGCCCTACAGCACTGTCTGTTTTTTTTTTTTTTTTCCTTTTTTGTCAATTTTTGGATATCTTAAACATATTTACAGGGTGATAAATACTGAAGTGTTCAGGTCGCCGCATGTCTGCCAGTCTAGTTCCCTAACTATACCTAAAAAAGAAAATATATTGCTCCAGCACATTCTTTTTTTTAACCTTGTCATGCCTTGATTTTTCTTAGGAGTGTAAGACGAGAAGATTCATGACACATTTTCTGTTCACTAATCACAATTTCCCCAGGACAGTTTTGAACAAAAGTTTTAATAGTGCTTCACATTCGTTTTGTAACCCCCCACACACACATACTACAGACGCACGCACGCACGCACACGAACACACCCGTAGACACACAAAACGACCATCCTACTGAACCTTTTGATTGCGTATGCAGCGTAACGTTGATTTCTTCTTGAGATTCGTCGATTTTAGTTCAATACTGTAGAGTGCTCAAATGGGCAATGCCCTATTACTGCTAACCAGATTACTCCAACGTACATCGCGTAGCGTTGATAATAAGACTGCTCGCCAATACGATGCCCATTCACAAGGATGCCTGCAGGAGCTAGGATTGAACATACCATTAATCAGTGGGGTCTTCAGTGCAAGTTTTGCTTCCTCCTATTTTGAACTGACGTGCGCTAATTTACGAGGCTGCCGATCGCCATCGTAACACATACTTGTTGGTGTCTTACCAAAGATTTAACAGCTGTGCTCAAACCCTTTCTGCACTAATCCGCGCAACATGCACGCTAGATGGCGGTAATTGCCTCGCTCGCAGCTGAGCGGCAACAGAGCAACTGAATATTCAAATATTACCGCCTCCTTCATCCAGTTTTTGGACAGTGCGGTCATCAGGTGACCGCCGTAATGATCACTCGGGAAGCAAATTGCCACGTAGGTCGCAACTATATTAATGGACACGCGTGTCTTTGCGTCTCGGCGTGCAGGCATTATAGACAGAGAGAAATATGCGAATAAAGATTTCGAAACTGACATGAAAAAAAAAATAATTATTCTACAAAACTTGAGCGACGCATGGGCAATATATTTCCTGCTGGAGCCGTCGAGGATTATGGGCGAGCGAGCGAGCAATTAGTATTATTCAATTTAGGCCAAATTGGAACAGTAGGAGCAATAAGCGACTCACGAGTGCAGCGCTATTGACGCGCCCTCTATTTATATGATACAGTTATGACCCGAAGTAACACTCACAGTATGTACAACATGCCGAGCGTTCAGTGTTCGAGAATATTGAAGATTCCGGACGATCAAGGTCTTCGGAATATTCCTGCGAATGGTTTATAATGTTTCAAGAGTGGGCCATTGAGTTGCTATAGTCACTCGGAAATATAAAAAATGGAAAGCGGAGGCTTCTTACGTTTACGAGTCTGGCTTTGTGATTCTATCTTTGTCATTCTTATCGGCTAATGCGCGCAATCTCATTAAAGCAAAAGCGATTAAAAGGGGCTCGGGACGATCCACGCCCGTTCTTATGCAGTCAGTTACTCTATCCGACAAACTGCACATCTAATTTCATCGTCTAAAAATATGCGTGTTCAGATTAATTTAACGTACAATTATTCGTAAAAATATACGCCCCATTAGACGGCAAAAAAAGATTTTTTTTATTATTAATATTGGTAAAAAAGGCGTACTTTTAGTGGGAACATTCTGTTCCAGGTTTAACGGAATACCATGATTGGGTAGACTATCTCCCTAACCCGGGCGGCACCACTCGGTCCATTCCGTTGATAGCTCCCCCCGGCAGCCCTTCTTTATCAGACACCCCTCTGAGATTATCGCTCGCGAACATCGTTCCAGGAAGGGCCTCGGCCGGCCGCGGGGCAGGTATACGCTCGTGCGATCAAAGCAAAGCCCGGCCGCGTAATCCGACGCTAATCCCCGCCGGCCTCATTAACCACGCTCTTTCGGGCACCCGAACTAGCGTCGCGCGGCCCGCTAATTTGGGCTCGCTTCATGAATTATTGATGGATCACCCTGCGGTGACAAGGGGCGCGGTAGTGGGGAGGAAAGGAGATGATGACAACGAGCCGCGACCTGTTGACACGGCAGCAAGCGCCACCGGGGATTGGCGTGGCGCCTAAGTTGGAACGACGTCTCCTATTGGACGTTAACGAAGTGTAAGCCGTTCCCAGTTTCGTGCACGCGTGGAGACAAGTAACAAATATTTGAGTCAGAAATGGTAAGCTCAGTTTGAAAGGCTGAAGGACGGTGAGTACATTTCGTCGGTGGCGTGTTCAGATATTTGCGTTTGAGCGCCATCGACTGCGTTACGACCGCTTGAGACTGCTGACGACGAGATGGTTGTTATGGCAACCTAAGTCCGTGCGACGCATTGTGGTGTAACGCGAGGAGTCGTAACAAAGTCGGTCGCAGCCAAAAGCAAAGGTTTAAACGAGCTTTCAGAAACGCCATTGTGCATTGCAATGCATTCCAAACGCCAATAATTAGGATTCCTCTGTAAATTCAAATAATTTTAAAATTTGCCAGTTTAGACACTTCGCGAAATGCAATGAATGTGGAGATTTGTTTACGTAGGGGGCTTTACTGTCGGAATGATATGCAATGGGACACGTGACGATTGAATTGTGAATGTATGATGGACTCTTCTTTCTGCTTCGTCCAAGCACCTCTTCTATGGGGATCTTTACATAATTTTCTCTGAAATGTCGACGCGCACACTATCTAACGATGAGATTCCTCCTTGTCTACTAGATGCAGTCTTCTAGTTTGCAGCTCATAGTGTTAAGGGCTGGGGGGCGGACAGGCTGGCGACCGGGTTTGGACTATACGGTGACTATGTTTTAATGGGATATGAGCCAATGGTTGCGTTCGATGGTAGGTCCCATTGCATCTCCGCCGCGCGTGTCCGCGGGTCTCCCTTTTATAGCCCGGGTGACGTGCCGATGTTACGCCACCGGCGGGATCCTGGTGGGATCGGTGGTGGCTGCTGGCTTCGACGGAAATGAGGTCCAACAGCCACCCTCATTGGCCCGGAGGTTTATGGCGCCGCGGCAGCATCTTCTCTCGATGTTGGAGATAGAGGAACACAAAGACCCGTTGATGTTGGTTACTTCGGCTGATGTTCGAAAGCCTTGGTTCCGGGTCTTCGAGAGGGTCTCTACCGAGCGGTGGTGTTGCGGACCGTCACTGTAAGTGTGCCCCAGATGGAGCACAGCCTCGCTGGGGTGTGGAACGTAACAATAGTCTACAACGAAACCCCAGTAACGCCCTCCTGCTATCCGCATGAAGGAACGCCATTGGTCGCGCGCGCAATGACGTCAATCCAAGAGTTACGCTGCCTTGCCGACACTCTTTGCCATGGGCTTGCTCCGGCGTGACCAATACCGTGGAGCGTTCCCAAAACAAAGTTATCGTTTCAGAAACACCGAACGATAATCATTGCTGGTTAGTACCTACCTCGTTAATTTTGATACCCCGCTAACAGACAAAGCTTTCCGGGACGAACTGTATAAATATGTGCATTCGTGTCTCGTAAATAACTCATATTATGTTTCTTTTTTTTTGGGGGGAGGGGGGTAGAGTTATTATTAACGAGACATGAATGAATCATTATTCAATGACCACGCTGCTTCAAATACAAAAGAGAGTTGATGAAAATTTTAAACTCAGTCCAGCATGATAATTACTGGCACGATAACGCCCCTCTAATTGGTCAAACTGATTAGAGGAAGGTAAATATTTTCGAGAACTAACGCGTTCAAATAAACACGCCTTCCATCATTGATTGGAACAGCCTTCCTTCGAGCTTCGTGTCATATAATAACTGTACTCAGTTCTTGCAGGAAATTGTTACATCTTTTTTTAAAATAATGTTTATGTAATGATATTATGCGTCGAGTAACACCTTTTGGCGGACTATTTAGTTCGTGTCTAGGTAAATGAATAAACTGCGAAGAGGACGTGGACAGAGGCGGAAACAAGTATACTTGTTTCTGCCACTGTCCTGGTCCTTTGCGCAGTTTGTTTATTTCCCTAGATGTTACGCATCCCTTTCCCAATTTTTATTACAAAAATGTTCATTAAGGTATGGCCCCCTTTTAGAATGTCTCTTTCAAAGTGAAGTGAAATGTCATCGAGTGCGCAGCGGTGAAGTATACACTCGGAGACGTCGAAGTGTGCGGGGAAACAGGTCGTTGCGATGCAGTCGGAACCTCCCCACGGCGCACATTGAAAGAGGCTGGGGGAGACGGTGGCGACGGGGAACTTCGGTGGCTGACAGCGACTCAGCCCGAGGAATTCCGCTTCTTTGCTCGCTGCGCAGATAATGTGACGCGGACCTGCCTGGAGAACGGGACCTGGGCTGACAGGTCGGATTACTCGAGCTGTCGTCCCCTCATCGACGTCGACCGGGAGGCGAGTATCTTTCCCTTCCTCTTCATTTATTTCTTAGTGCAATCCTTTTTCACGGTTTGGTAGAAACTCAGGCGCGACGCGATCAAAGTTATTGATACAGTCGTTGACAGCATCGTAAGAACAGGGCAAGTTCCGAGAATCTCATTATCGCTCCGCAGCGTACGAAACTGCGGCATGAGACGGCCGAATACGTATGAGGCCCCACCTTGGGTTTCTTAAGCTCCCGTTGACTGTCGCGAAACGAGAGGGTCAAGAGCGAGATCGCGAGGGAATGGGACACAACTTGGGCGGATGTTGGAGCCACACTCGAGCAGTTTCCTTTCCAGGTTAGGCTCGTGTAGGATGCCACAGAGTCAGCTTGAACACGTGACAATTTTTGACTTTCGCATTTGAAAGCTGCCATTAAAATTAAAATGTGCTCATTTGCGGCTGTGCGTTTGCGGGCCCTTATTAAGCGCTTTAAGTTAACGAAAACGGGTAAAATGAAATTAAATCAAAGTTGCGATATCTCGTTTGAACTGTGTCGCGCATTATGCGTTATTTTAAAGATGCGAGGAGATTCACGCGTTCATTTCATACGTGGAACTTAACTGCCAGTAAGCCCAGAAAGTCACAAAAAATCATTAAAAATGGATATAAAATGTACGTTATAGCAACCAATGCAAATCATTCCAACAATCTCCCGTGCGATGCCATGTTTGTATGCACCGCCTCGGCGGCTTCGAGGAGGCGTATACGAAGATGGCAGCGCACCTGAAAATCCGGATCGCCACGGAGCGGGCTCAAATTCCGGGCGAGGTTCTCGCAATCTGGCGGAGTCTTACTGCGGAGAAGGCGCTGTGGAACCGAGTTTTCGCTTCTACGTGAAAAGACCCCCGGGGTGGGCGGAATTAATCCTCAGTCCTTCGCCGGGGATTTTCAGACGTTCTCCGTTGGTCTGTCACCCAAATCTCCCCGAATTCGAGAATTTGCATACTGGGCTAGCTGTGAGACACGCTCTGGGAATGCGCACTTGGGGAGCTAATCTGTACCCTTGGCGAAAAAGTCGGCGGGAAATCTGGCTGCTCTGATTGGCCGGAGCCAAGGTCAATTAAGTGCGGCGTTGGCCAATCTCAGCCGCCAGATTTCTCGCCGATTTTTATTCTTTTTTTGCCAAATGTCCAGATTGGGGCCCTTGCTATCTCTGCGGAATATTAGACGCCGCGCGTGCTGCCCCAGCCCAGTGATTCGGCATTTTTTTTTCGCATCGGTGATAAGCTATGGAAAAGTGTATTAGTGAAAAGACGGTGAGAGTGCAGGCGAGCTGGTGGTAGCTAATCATGTCGTATTACACCTGAGACTGCGGTGGAAGAAATCAGAAGAACTTTCAGTAGAAGGAACAGACACAGAGAACGTCTCACACAGAGACGTTCTCTGTGTCTGTTCCTTCTACTGAAAGTTCTTCCGATTTCTTCCACCGCAGTCTCAGGTGTAATACGACATGAAAAGTGTATATCGACGTTCAATGCTCTCGTAACAAAATCAGCTGCGACGCAATCAGCTCGAGCGCATAATCGCCCACCTCTCCCATGTTTTATGTGAAGACTTAAAGGGCACTCGATCATTTTTGAAAAAGGTCGTTTTGTATCTTATATTGCTTAAAATGTGTTAGCTCCCACAGATACAAAGCCTATATTCAAAAAAACGCCTATTCATCCCAGGGCAATGAAAACATGTGGACTCTTTTTTTCTCGTGGACTACATTGTGTGGCCAATGAAAGCCGTACAGTCCGCGCGGATTGCGAATGACTTTATTATAACTTGTTTCGTACAGAGTCCGATAGGTACACATTCGGAAAAGACTCCTCTTCTTCCCCGCGGGCGACGCCGTCACTTACAACTCGCCGACAAGCGCCCTTCGTCGACCGCTTCACTCGGAAGAAAATTCTTCCCCAAAAGGGCGTGTCGCGATCTTTGAACACGCCTTTATTGAGGAAATAAGCTGCGCACGGTTGTGAATTCGGGTATTTTGGGATGCTTAGAGCGTCTACACTGAGTTGTCATTACAAAACGACAACCTCAAAATCGACTTCAGTGCCCTTTAAAGGATGCAGCCAGCAAAAACCTTTTAGCGCAGTGGAATGTGCTAATTAGGGTATACCTAGACAAAAACAAAAGTGTGCCACACTAACGTGAAAACAGCAACGGGTATGTTGACACCCGACGTACACCCGAGCATAGAAAGAAAGCAAAGCAGGCGCGCACAACGCCATCGGCTTACAATAACATTCCTGGAACAACACACGAGCTCGATGCTCCAAGTTCGTCCGCGTCAGGCAAAGTGATTTAGCCGCTTTCACGACAAGCGCTCGTGTTCTTCCGGCGTCTACTTTTTTTCTTTTCTTCCGTGTGCTCGGTTTCACGTTGTGTACGTTTTTCGTGATTGCGAGGCGGCGTAGGTCAAATTGGAGAGTTCGGCAATCATCGGATGCGCTCGCGTGTTATCGGGTTCCTAACGACACCCGGGAGAGGAGTGAAAAAAATAAAAGCGCAAATTCTCTCCAGCTTCGAGGTCCTCTCGAGCTTCGTTGCAGAGGCAAGCTGAAAGTGCAATTTTCGTGTGTTTGCTACGAATTCTCGCGAGCGTGGAAGTTCACACTCCTGGATGACCTTGACGTCGAGAGTAAAATTGCGTACCTCCGTTCCCCTCTAGAGCGGTGTAGAAATTCAATTTCATCCAAGTGGAGCCAATACCATCTGCAAAACAAGGCCCCCCCTAAACGTCACCACTAGTGGGTGGATGCAGCGTCGCCTGTAGATTACGCCAGCATTGCCGCCAGCGCGTCTTTGAGCTTCTCGCAACGAACGCGACGCTATGCGGAACTCAAGTTCGTCTGCTTCCTTTGCATTTGTTGTGGTAACGGTTGAACGCCGACCGCTGATCGGCTCCGACTACCCATTGTCATTCAATCAGAGCCAATGAGAGCTCGGCGTTCTGACGTCACCACAACCCCTGCAAAAGGAGCAGACGAACTTGCGTTCCGCGTAGCATGCGGCGACGCCAAGATGGATCCCTCTTTGCGAAGGTTCTCGTCGAGCTTCCGCGTGGTTGCCGCTTGGGGCGGGTCGGGGATCCACCGATGATGACGTCATGTGCAGGCCTTGTCTTGGAGGTGCTATTGGTATACAGCTGGTCAGTTTCGGAGCTCAGCAAAATTTCCTTTCGCCTGTCGATTCTATTTAGTCTGTCCCGCACAGTGGCCCGCTTGCTATAAAAAAAAAAAAAAAAAGCTGCATTAACTTTAGGTGCGCAGGGTATAGTTTGATGTTAGCACAACGATACTTTACGCGTGCATAATACGAATGAAAACAATGATATCTCACATATGAGTTTCCTAGCGCAAGTTTTATTCATCCCGACCAAGTTTTCCATCAAAGCGAGGCTGTTAACATTATTTTAAGTAAGAAAAAGACAACTTCAGTTGACTTGTTTAAAAAAGAAGACGCTATCTACTAAAAAACAAAGTTCAAATGTATTTCTTAGATAAATCAAGCAGACAGGCCAAGATTATTTAGTAAAGGGGGAGGGGGGGGAGGGGGGCGATTGAAAATTACCGCGAGTAAGCGCGTAGGCGAACTGCTTTAATATTAGCAGATGCGAGTTTGTAATATAAAATTTTAAAGCTTGTATATAAATTCCCTGAAATTAATTTTCGCAGAAAATTGCGGTGCCCCCGAAGAATTTCTGCTTTCCGCTTATTTAATTTTTAAATATTTATTTCTGTTGTTTTTTGAGGTTCTGAAAATCTGTTTACAATAAGTACAGACGCGGGGAAACAAAGCTCCTGTAGACCTGATTTCTTGGCATTTATGTTATATTTTTTATCAAGAACGCAATGAAGCGACGAATTTTCATAAAATCAAAGTAAAACTAGGTGCGGTGAGAAGCTCGCTAGGGGCGCTTCTGCGTTCCTCACTCTGGGTAGTCCACGTGCTGCCCACGTGGTTATGTTTTAATTTTCATAGTGCATAGAAGCTTGGCACTGCACGTGCTTTTCCCAGTGGAGGAAGTTGAAGTATCCCCCCTCTCGGTTGTGAACAAATTCCACCAGGTGGAGATACGCAAACTTCTCGCCGCTCCCTATTTAAGGACGCTGTTCTGAGCACCTGCTCAGAAAGAGCTCACATTTATAGGCTGCTAAGACCGGCAATCTTGATAATGTGTAATAGAGGTTGCAAGTAATCTGCAAAAAGGTCGCTATCCCCCCCCCCCCCCCCCCCCCTCCCCCGCGCGCAGCAGTCACCCACCCAGCTATTTATGGTCGCCAGTGAATACTCTATATACACCTGTTGAATGTTTACAAATTCACAACCCAGTACGCGCATGTTGTCTTCGCTTCGCGTCATACGCACGAACGCTGAAAATGGCACCGGACAGAAGCCCTTTTTTTTTTTTTTGGAGAGGTCTACGCGCGCTACCCGAAGAAAAAATAGCGTCGCTGATTACACGACTCGAATAAACGTATGGACAAGGAAATACGATTACGACTTGGTGGGAGTCGCGCGTGTCCGTCCTCTTTCTCTCTAAGTTCATCGTTTCCTTTCTCTGACGGTGGGTAGCAGCAGCAGTCTCTTCAACCAGTCTTCGAGGCTTCTTTGTAACTATTCGCGGCACGTCAGGGTAATGCAGGAAGCACTCCGAGCCGAGCCACTGGCGATTTCGTCCTTGACGTCGCCCGCTCCGCGAATCAATTGTTTACCCGAGGACGCCTCAACGAAGCCCACGGTGGCAATATTGACGCAGGAGGGGTAAGCGCCCTTCCGCCCGCCCGACGCTCTTAATCACCCTGCGTGACCGGACTCCGCTGGGACCCAGACACTGCGACTCGAGCAACAAACAGGAAGGCACACATGCCCACGTTACTGAAAAAACGTTTACAGCTTACTCCCTCAAAAAGTAACGTTACTCGTTACTGAGTCTCAAAAGTTACGCGTTGCTTCAGCTCCGAAGTAAACTCCCAGACAAAAACCAAATTTAGGCACAGAGAGAACTCTTCTACCTGAGTACGTAAGTGAGACCAACAAAGAGGGAGCGAGAGAGTGAGAGGCCGTCCATGAGAGGCCGTCCAGCGATCGGACATCACACTTGACCCGATCAAAACGCACGAATTCACTGGAACGAACCATGCAGCTTCGCGATAGAGATCGTAGAGGTCCGCGGTATGAAATCATATCAACATGTTGCCAAGTCACAATGCCTCCCGTTTATCAGCTTATCCTTTCGTGCTAGACTCTGTTTTTTTGTTTGTTTTTTTAGCTGTTTATTTTTGTTGTTTCTTTTAAGCGAGGTTGCTTAACACAATAACCGCAGCTCAGTTTGCTCAGATCCCGTTGGGGTGCTTGACGGGGTCCTTACTATATAACATTTACCCAAGGAACGGAATCGTAAATGGCAAATCCTCGAGAGATACGCAAATAATGTATTGCACGAGCAGCGAAAAGTAAAACACAGAAAGGCAACGCCCGATGAAGGTCTTTATTTCCCTTCTCAGTGGTTCGTTATACTCGCCTGACCTTGTGTTATATGCAGAAGCATGTCGTGCGATTTTCGCTTCACTTTCTGACGCAAACCTATAAAACGATGTATCTCTCCGCCAAGAATCTTTGTTACGATCCTCAATAAAACAGGCACTAAGATGAATGAGTTTATAGACCGGTACTTTTAAAATTGCGATGTATTTCTGCGCATATGCCGTATGTTTGTATCGGCATCATAGACGCAATGAAATAGAACTACATTGATCGAAAAAGCTCTAGCACTTGTTTATTTTTTTTCTACTGAGGTTCACTCAAAGGTGTTATGTTTTTTTTTTTTACTTATGGTAACTTGCATGAGCACATGTTAGAACGAACGCTTAAAAAGAGACAGAAAGAGCCTCTTCGAGAGTATACAAAGCGCAGTGTTTCGCATGCTGAACGTTCTCGGCGACTGGTAGCGGCAATCCTTCATATATCAGAGAAGCTTTATCGCAAGCAACGGAGGCACGCAGAATTATTCAAATGGGTTAAGGTTATCGTCCATCCTTGCCTTTCCTTCCTTGCCACAATGAAAGCTACTCACACCGACCCCCGGTACGTGCAAGTCAATATGCGTCGGTAATGTAGGGTCCGCATCTGGGAGATATCAACTCAAAACTGACTCGGTCTGAAATTTGGATTACAGAAAAAGCCAATATTTCAGGATAACTTCGACGACTTTTGGGCAGAGTGTGATCGAGAGCTTCAACGAAACGGAATTTAAGGTCCCGCACGCGTCATCGGAAGAACCGCGACATTTAGTTGTTAGTTTTGAAAGCGTGGAAACTCAGAAACTCTAAGGCCAGAAAATCAAAGTTGGCCCCAATTCCACTTCCTCCGAATTTTATTTTTGTTGACGAAACAACGTCCAATAAACGCAGTGGAATTGAACCGCGGACCAGTGTGGCCTGTATACAATGGCTTAAACTTTCGTGTCTATACAATTTAGTTGTGCACCGGTTGTACCTAAGAGGTTCCGTTACCGACGATTCAATTTTTATTCAAAATTTGAACTTGCGTTAATACCAAAAAAAAAATCTTTCGCCTGCCTACTCGTCCGTATTGAAAACGATCGGGAGACAATCGCGCCGAGACAATTAAGAGCAAAAGTTTTTATCCCCTCAGTGTTTGGGTATTGATGCTGGATCATCGACATGTTAAACGCTACAGTGTCTCCTTCATTGCACGCGTGGTCATGGAAAGAATGTGGCGAAGAATCGTCGAAATTAGCCCGACGCCTTTGCTTTCCACCCGGTGCAACAAGCGCTGTTCTTACGCTATGCGCGGAGCGAACTTTCCTAGCGTATATACCGCATAGAGTCCATCCTTTAGTCGGCCCTAAAAATCGGAGCCACGAGCACGCACTGCAACTTAGGCTTAGGTCCTCACAGAGACAGTGGTTGTTGTTTTGATATTTTTAGTAGTGAGCTAGGGATGGATGCATCGAAGGAACCTCCTACACCGAAGTGCGGCACGCGTAGTAGTGTGCTTTGAATAGTTATTGCAAAAGGTATGTGGTGGGCGGGGCGAGTATGTGCGCTTCGGTTCACTTTTCCATAGCTTCGATGGCGCCTCAGTCGGTGAGCAGTTTTGCTGTCAAGGAATGTTTCGAACCACAGAAGTTGCATATTCGTTTCTAGCTTTCAGCCGCGATTCAAGAAACTCCTTGCGCAGGTTATTCGAAGCAACAATATTTTGCATATCAATATGACCGGTGGACGACTGCCCTCCAGAGGGGGGTTATGCCAGACGGCAATGTCCCGGTTCCTTGGTCCCGCCTCGTCTTGCATTGCCCCCCTGGTTTGTCCGATTGAAGGTGATGTTTCTGTTTGCTGTGGTCTTTGAACATTCTCTGAGATGTTCCACGTAATACGAAACAGCTAACGCTAGCTTACTCTGAAAACTGAGCTATTCCATCAACGACCAGAAACCATCTGTCATGTCTTATTTAGTGCGCGTGTGCGTGTGCTTGGCATTTTTTTTTTTTGGAAAGGGAGGGGGGGGGGGGGGTCGAACGGCGCAGTGTACGCTTGATGTTCTGCTATTCTTTAACTACTTTCTTGCCTTCTTCGGTTTCAGGTTGATGAAACAACATTGTACTACATCGGCTACGGAGTTTCGCTGTGTGCTTTGACTATTGCTCTGTGGATATTTCTCTATTACAAGTAAGTCCCGACTATAGTTTTTTCAACTGCTTTCTTGTTTAGCGCCCCACCATTATTAATTTTGTTTATGTCCATTCCAGTTTCAGGAACACAAACCAGTCGAAGAGATCAGAAAACAAAATAGTTCGTATTTAGACAAATGTGGTATATGAGTAAACACTTGTCCGTTAATGATTTCAAAGTTTCATGAGTTGCAAAGAATATAAATGTTTACTCTTAAAATTATTTACATTCAAATAAATTTTTGAGAATATTCGGCAAATAGCACCTCATTACTGTTTTTTTAGATGCTTTGAAATAAGGCGCATCCTTACTCCGTAACCAAAATAGTTGAAGTGAAAACGAAATTTGTTGGCGTAGTTACTGAGCAATGTTTTGTATGGATTTCTCTAAGCTATTAAGATCTTAAAATATACGTATGCTACTCCACACCTGTTAAGCTGGGGACGTTTTTTTTTTGTGACATACAGTTTTGGATGAGCTAGTTGATCATCCTCGCTCTCTGAAACTCAATACCGGTATGTCTTGTTAAAGACTCATTTTATGCGCCTCAACCCCGCACAGCTGCCCTCATTCGTTTGAGTAGGTCTTTCTCTATCTTACGATTTGACATATTTTGGAAGAGGCCATTTTTAACGTTTCTTTTAAATATTCCCATAGTTTTGAGCCATTAAATCAATGTAAGTAGTATACAGGTCGCTTTTTAATTCTGAACTAAGACAAGGGAAATATTTTTTTACGCTCCAATGTTACAGAGGCGAGTTATGATCAGCTGGGGAGGGGAAATCAATTCTTATTCCATTCAAGTTAAATCAACCAGAACATTTTGGATCCTCTGTTCTTTAACAGGTTTACGAGCTTAATTGTTTCAAAAAAGTAACTTTCTATAAAAAAAAAATAAGGTTGGGTAGAGACTAAAGGTAAGAAATATTGGTCCATATACGAATTCCCGTTTCTGACTTCGTGAAATGTGTGTGTGTGTGTGTGTGTGTTGGGGGGGGGGGGGGGGGGGGCGGGGGGGGCAAGCCGGGAAATTCTGCCCGTGCTAAAACAATCACCCTTTAAAAAAATATTCTACTTTCGCGCGTTGTTCTCAGTTTCTGTGGGCAACCATGACTTTTTTACAAACACAGGGTGTGAATGTTCATGTCATCCGCAACCAAGATTATCTGACCCGTTTCCCCAGAAATGTGTTTTGTTTCATTTCCACTCGCTCGAAGGCGGGCGCCTGGCGCAAACTAACGCTGTCTTGTTCGTAATGAATGGTGAGGTTTTTCGCGTGTCTTCGACTTAAATTATCGCATGCGAGGGAACCCTACACGAGAGCCGTCTCAAGTTACGTGGTATGAATTTATCGGTCCGCGCTATACACTACCCTGCAGTAAAAAAAAATATGAATTCAAGAAGAGACCACGCAAACGAGGACCCAACGGCTGTGCCCCTCAAAGAAAAAGAAAACAAAAGTAATCAGATTTCCGCCTTCCCTTATACTTACTGCCGGAGGGACGACCTCCCTTAAGTGCGTCGCGGCCCAAGACAGAGCGGGAGTATTGAGCCGACAGCAGAGATGGTAGCAACGGGGCAAGGGGGAGAGTTTTCCGCAATATTGAACCCGGCTTCGGATGTCCCGAAGGACCGTTAGCTAATTGCCAAGTCCCTCAGTTGCTCTACGACTCCTGCCTACTTCTATGCTAGTTACTTTAGTTGGTCGCATAAACTCAGAGCACACTTAATAAAGGTAGATCGACCAAAAAAACAGAAAATAAAATGCAAAACCATAAAAGTAAGGACCACAAAACGTTAAGTAACGAAGTGAGCTAATCATACCGTATTTGCTTAGTATACTTTGAGAAGCTCCGCTATGTGGACTTTCCGCGAGTTACTGGAAACGATCGCTTTTTCTTTAATCAGACGAAAGTAGGGGACGCCCTCTTCCGCGTCTCACGCCTTGATGACCATCAAGGCAAGAGACCGGTCGACCGCTGCGCTATCGCACCGTCCCGGTCAAATTCGCGAGGCCACTGGGGCGTGAGCCTCCTGCATGCAGTATTCACGCGGGAGCGTCTGGATATAGAGAAGACATCAGATCGGGCCAAAATTGTAGGGCCCGGCCGGACTAGGCCCGATTAAGTCCTGGCCCGACCCCGGCCGGAACCCTACCCGACTGAGAAGTATTCCACCCAAATTTTAATAGTATTTCTATTTTTTTTTTAACATGAGCCTGATTTAGATTGGGCCTGAACCCGCCTTTTTCTTTACCAAGGAGTGTTTTATGGCTGGCTGGCCCTAGCTTCTTCTAAAAGGGTACGTCATTCCTGGGGACGGAAGTGGTCATCACTCGAAACCCCCCCCCCCCCCCCCACACACACACACACACACTCCAAACAAAAGTGATGAACCCCTTGCCGTTGATTTAAACCTGTACCCTTCCGATGTGAATTTGACGCTGAATAAAAAAGAAGCAAGGTCGTAAGTTGATATCTAGTTTATCGTGGTTTGACGATCACACGAATGAAAGTGGCCTTGTAATTTAGTCTTCGGTTGATGTTGGGAGCAACACAGAACATATTCTGAGTTTGTGCCTTAGCCACGACAGTGCGGAAGAAGTTCCCACACTCCACCACTTGATTTTTTGTGGCTCAGTGGTTATCATATCTGACCGCGAATCGGGGAATCCGGGGTCCCAATCCCACAGCGCCGATAGACAAATTTTGTCCTTCTGCGGCTTCGTAACAACTATTTTATTTGATCAGTACTGCGTATTCATATGCATATTGTCGCGAATGAAAAAGGATGGACAAGCGTAAAACTAAAAATAAAGGTTAAATCGGCGAACTTGTGCCAGAAACAAAAGAAAGAACGAGTGTCAAAAGCAGCATTGAGCGTCGAGGTGTCGGCGCGACAGCTGGCTACGGCACGAGTTTCTGAGAGTGAGTCGGGAAGGCCAAGCTGGCCTTTGTATCTACTACACACTCGGTATCTCGAACATTCGGCCTAAAATGTTAGACCGTCGAACACTGGGGAGACTGACTCTGCAAGATCATGTTGGCGTCCTTATCAAGTACACTTGGTATCTCAAACATTTGAATCGAACGTCGAATCATTTGGGGTAAAAGAGTACACGCGAATCTTCCTGAAGGCCGGGGAAGCGTTCGTCCATGCATGCGACAATATTTACATGCCACGATTCACAACAAACCAAGTTTTTTTTTTTCACTTAGAATTACATTGCAAGGAACAGAAAAGGGCAAATAAATTTAAAACTGAAAATAAATGTTTAGTGAGGTTAACATGTGCCTTCAAACTAAAACAAAAGAAGGTATCGAGAATCCTGCGTCAGTAGCGGAAGAGTGACTGTCTGGAAGCTGCGCGTTATCGCTGCTTAAAGGTACATACGGTACCTTTAAAAAAATTAAACGTTTACAATTTCCTGTAACGCCGAATTAGAGCGCAGCTCTTGAGCAGAAGGAGGAGATGGAACTGAGGGGAGGACGTATGGCCCTCTTCATTCCCCGCTAAATTTACTGTGGAAAGTTTTCCTCTAAATTTAGCGAATTTTACCCTCGTGACGTCACACCTGACATCACGAGTGTAAATTTAGCGGGAAGTTTTTCCGCTCAATTTAACCGAAACATTTCCCGCTAAATTTAGCGGGAATACTGTCAATGTTAGATGCGTATGACGTCACGTGAGGTCGCGAGGTCACACGTGGGGCCATACGTCAAGTGCTTCCTATAATGACGTCACACGTGACGTCACGTCTGACGTCACGAGGGTAATCCTCGTGACGGTAACCCTTTTGACCCCCATAAGGGTAACCCTCGTAACCCTCGTGACAGTAACCCTCCTGACCCCCATAAGGGTAATCCTCGGGAGGGTAACCTTCATAACCCTCATGAGGGTAGCCTTCGTGACCCTCGTGAGGTTAACCATTGTGAGGGTAACCCTAGTAACCCTCGTGAGGGTAACCCTCGTAACCCTCATGAGGGTAACCCTCGTGAACCTCGTGACCGTAACCCTCGTAACCCTCGTGAGGGTGACCCTCGTGACCCTCGTGAGGGTAACCCTCGTACCCCGGACAAGGGTAACCCTCGTGACGTCACGTGTGACATCATCATGGGAAACATCCCATAATCCAACGCGCGGTTACGCCGACGGCGACGCCGCTCAAGCCAGAAACGGGCGCCTAAGAGCTGTGCTCTAAAATGTTCCGAAGCAGAACACTCGAGGACAGTCGAGAATGGGCTGTAACTTTCCAGGAAATAATTCTGAAAGAATGATCTGGGACTAGCTGGGTTCCCGTTCCTCCACGCGGCAGACGGCTGCGTAGCCAACTCCCTTATGTTCGAGGAAATTCCCCGTTTAAACCAAAACGAAGTCATATTTTATTTACTCAAAGCCTTGTCTATAATGATTGCGTACATATCAGAAGACAGGCTTGATTTACTAAACTTCACTACTTATTGAAGCAAATAAAAAGAGACAGCGATGCATTTCAAGTGCAAGGGAATTTTAGAGAAAGGAAAATTTTGTAATTGCGCAAGAGTTCAGTTGGCATCATTTGGTTATAATAGCGAATAAAATTTAGCACACGAGTTATCTTGAATAAGAAAGAAAAACCAGCTCGGCGACAAGCAATCACCTACTAAGGAAAATTGATCGCGAAAGATGGAACTTGCTATAGACGTTTGGTACCATCATCAACCTTCGTCGGCATTTGTTGCGTTATAACTTATAACTTGCACTCGCTTTGCGCTACTTTGTGCACGTTCAAAGACGTCTTGAGGAAATAGACCGAAGTTCCTCAAATCGAATTTCTTGATTTACTGAGGTAGGATTGTCAGGTTCCGACACAGCTCTAAAATAAATAAACCCGAACCCAACCCGAGCCCGAGCTGGACGCTCATATATGGGCCCGAGCCCGGCCCGACAATCGGGTCCGCTTGGGGTTTTCGGGATTGCCCGAGTCCGCGCAGAGCTCGAACGTAGAGGTCGGCTCCAAAAATTCGGGGTGTTCACTCGCGCCCCCTTTCGGCGTGTGCAGAGACCTCCGCTGCCTGCGGAACACCATCCACGTGAACCTGATGGTCACCTACTTCCTCATCTCGCTCGTCTGGATGACTACGGCCACGCTCCAGTCGATACCCTCACCACCTTACCACAAGGTGACCGTTTGATCCTATCCATTCGAGCGTCTGAATGATGCAACTTTATAGAGATAATAACACCAGAGGCACTAAAGGAGCTACGTATCGAGTATCGGCACTCGGTTCCTCGATAATGTTGTGGGCGCCGCCATCTTGGTACTCAGAACACAGCAGTCGCAACGGCCGATCGTCATCATTCAAAAGTGAGACTTCCTCAGTCATACATTCGCTGTTCGGAAGGTCATGTATTAATGTTTTTCTCTGTCGCGAACTGTTTACACACATGTGGAGGACGGAAAAGCGTTTCCCGTGATTTCAGATAATGGTTCAAATAACTGGCAACCATGCTTTTAAGGACTAAGGTGGTTAAGTGTTTTTACTCTGGCGCGTAGCTCATAGTGGCTCTAGTTACTACCAAAGTAATCGCTCACGTTTATGTGGACGTTGTCGTCTTCTGTGACTCTACGGTAACGCAATCATGAAAGCATAAGTCTTAGAAGAGATGGAGTTTGCCCTTCGTCATATAAACTTGATTCTGGTGTAGAATGAGTGGCCTGTAAAGTAATACTACGGGTATTATTTCCTGCGTGGTTACGTTTTATGCGAAATATACAAGGTGTTTCCTGGAATATTTTCAAATATCCCTCGAAATAGGGTGGTTAAGGAAGAAAAAAGACACCCTTTTTGTGAACACACTGCCAGCCAAGGCCGCCATCAGGGCTTTATAAAAAATGTGATTAGCAGCAATATTACTTAAAACTTACTAATTAAATTTCTAAATAGTAAAAATAAACACATTCTTGTAATCAGAAACTCGCTGAGCGTCAGCAAACACCCCCAAGTCAGTCAATCTTATGGAGACGTAAAGCGCGTGAGAAGTGCGGAGGTGCACTGAAGTCCTCACTCGTGCAGCAGGCGGAAGGATGACGGTGCAAAAAGGCAGATAAGAAACTTACCTGCGTGTTCTCATCACCAGACTTCCGCCTACTGCACAAGCGGAAAGGCTTCCCACGTGCTTTGTGACTTCCCAAAGTTGACTGATCACCAATTAGCGTGTTCAAGTGGATCGGATCAATCCTATGTTACTTCATGAGCACTCGTGTGTCTTATATCAAATCAGATTAGTACGCCAATATTTATTCATTTATTTTATTTAACCCGGAGCGCACAGAGGACATTATTGCAGAAAAAGAAATAAAGGTGCAAATATCCAAATATCAACAAATATTCCCAGAAATATACGCAAACATATAACTCACAAGCATATAAGCACTAATAAACATGACTGGAAAAAAGTCGTAGATTAGAAACAAGTCTTTAATCATTTACGTTTTACAAATATAAAAAAAAACAAGTGTTGGAATGTTTTGAAGAAATCTTGAACATAAAAAGCAGGCAATAAACAAATAAGCCAAAGGTTATGTTCACCAACGTTCGTGTTGTTGTATTAAGAAAAAGAAATAACTCGAGATACGCTTCCAGGTATAAACCAAGATCATTGATCATAATCAAATGTGCTTGACATAAACTGCAAGAACACTCACTGTCCGACTACGCCGCGTGTTTTTGTAAAAAAGAAATGTATATATATACATATTTGCAGGCAATTCGCGAAAAATAGGTCCCGCGAACAATTCCGGTAAAATGTAAACACATCTACATTGAGATTCCATCGCGTAGCGATTATGATTAGGACCCGCGAATTATTCCAAAACTTTAGCTTTGACGTAAATCGCGAAATATTGAACCCACGAAAATGAAGTTTTTTACAGTATTAAGCAGAAAAAGTTGCCTTAATCACAGGTGATAAAGGAAAAATTATAATTCACTGGATCTGTATGATTTGTTCCGTGCTAAAATGAGGAAGCGTTGCATCGCGGATTGTTGGAATGTTATATTTCGCAAAAAAATAGAAAAAATAAAAATAAAACAATAATATCGAGCGAAAGATGATCATTTAGTGATTTTAATTTTAGTCCAATTAATATTGCAAAATAAAACGTCGAAACGGCAGACAAATACACACGGTCACTTTAACTTGAATTAAGATTATTTAATAAAAACGCATAGGCTCTTGAATTTTTTCAAATTTAGAAATGTACTGCCTAATCGTATCTTGGAGGAGATTGCAAAGTGTTGCATATTTGTCGGAATTTGTTCTGACTTTGTTTTTTTTTAATATTTTTTTTTTTGGATTCCACATTGGTAACATAGTATTTCTACTTTTGAGTAGCTTAGTACGAATAAAAGCTTTCTTTCCGTATAAAAAGAAAAAAGAAAAGTCCAATGAAAAATAGAGAACCTTAAATCGACAACTGCAGTCAAGCAGCGCTCCTTTCTCCTCGCTCTCTTTCCTTTTCTTTATCGTTCTACTCGAGGGCAACAATACTGCTGAGTGGTTGCGGTGCAATGGAAGAGGCATGACCCGATTATAATACCCTCAATGTTGAGGTTGTCTCGAAGAGTGCAACGCTGCCAAAGCGGTAACCCTTTCGGAATTCCAGGCGGCCTGCTTCCTGTACATCGTGCTCACCTACCTGATGGGAACCAACTTCTTCTGGATGTTCGTCGAGGGCCTCTACCTCTACATCCTGGTCGTCAAGACCTTCTCCATCGAACTCGTACGATTCCACGTGTACGCGTTCATCGGATGGGGTAAGCGCGCGCCAGACTTTTTTCCTTTCTTTTTTCGGGTAGTATTAACCAAGCATTGTCTAAGTCTTAGAGACTTACTTTTCTTACTTTGGTACATGTGTTATACTTTAAAAGACCGGACAGAGAGACCTACGCGTTACTTACAAAACGTATTCGCCAGATTGAGTTACATAGTTCATCATTGCCTGTGTCATCTATTCATTATATTTTTTGTTGTGTATGTCACGCTTGATTGCATTTCTTTAGTTTTGTGTTATTTGACCTCAAAGATGTAAAAATTATCCCCACCTCCCCACCCCCCCCCCCCCCCCCAAAAAAAAAAAGAAAACTATTTTTTTTGTGTGTGCAAAAAATGTTTTATATGCAACTTCGAATGCTCATTTTCCGCCCACATGTAGCCCTAGCGCTTCTAACCAGATGTCAATGTTTCAAAGCAAACTGTTGTCTTGTTTAAATTTTTTTTTAAATTGTCAATAGAGAAATGGTTGCTGACGGAGCTGTCGATCACATGAAGCAGAATGGCGCCAGTTCTCAAGACGCGCTCCCTTTTCTCTTAAAATTAAAAAAAAAAAAAAAACTGATAACATTTTTTTTAAGATAACGGTTCTTTCTGAAGTTTTCGCATCTGGTTCGGACCGCTAGCGTTACATTCGGGTGAGAAATGAGCCCTCGGCAATGCGTAATTTACTTTTGCAATAAAAAAAAACAAAAAAAAAACCTGCATTTTTTTTAATTTATTTGCTTCTTTTTTTCTTTCTTTTTTTTTTTTGGGGGGGGGGGGGGGTATGTATACCGTATTTGCCACAAGGAGAAAAAAACAAGCACGGGTTAAGCTGGTGGCTTTATGTGTTTGAATAATTGACCTTTTTATTTTTTAAACACAATTCGAATACGGTAATAAAATCCCCAAATTGAGGAATTTGATGGAGGCACTTTGTGAAAACATAATTTCGCGGAAACCTCCCAACCGACCCCCCTTCATGTGATAACTTAAAATACTTGAGTATCGAGCAGTTGCTGGAAAAATCGGCCGTCATCCGTCTGGCTTGGTGGTAACATGGGTAACAGGCACTAGGTTAACACCAACATTGGAATGTGTTTCGACAGCGTCAACTGTAGCAAGAAACTTTACAATGAGCAATATGGATACAGCCATGTGTGGTTAATACGGACCCCGTTAGGAGGGTAAGAGGGAAAGGGCGGCCGGCACTCTCCTCCTTGCTGAGTGGTTACGAAACAGCGAAAAACCCGGATGAACGTCTCGGATGCGTGTGGCTCTCCAAGTTTGGTTGTTTTCTTCGCGGTTCGTCTCTATTTGATTTTACTTTCAGATGTAACTAGAGCTGCAGCAAATTGACGACAATCCCCCGATAATCGGGACATCACTGCACGAATAAATAACCGAAAGCGCAGAATATTATCGGAGGGCATCTGCATCGCGCACGGGATCCCGCAGAGCAACTGCGGCTGCAATGTTTTCAATCCTTATTGCTTTCCAAATGGCCAAAACCTCCGGCGGCAGTGTGTTGCGTTCGTGAGCAGAACGAGACTTTTCCTCGATGCATACTCCCTATTGTGCTCGGAACATTTCTTGAATAGGGTTTGCATCGAACTTACCGCTGTACCGCCGATGAATACGGGTTTTGCTCGCAAGGTGGGTGCAAGTTTTCTTGTGAGAATCGGTGTTTCGACTGGGAATTTTTCGTAACTTAATTTATCCTAAGGCTGATGTCTTGCAGTGGGAATGTTGACTCGATTTTATTATCAACGAAACTTAGGTAAAGGCTCAGTTACATCATGGGGTGTACCTGGAAAATGTCAAAACGTTAGTTCTGTTGGTTTTCCTCAATCGCGATCTTCTGCGCGATAGCAGAAAGTCATGAACTTACGATGGCTTTCTCAACGCGACTAGGTTATTTTTACTTTGCAAAGTAGTAACACAGCTGGAAAGAAAACTTGTATTTCTATCGTGGAAGCATGCTCAGGCACCGATTTCGAACCTTTGAATCATTTATGAGCTCGCCCCGGGAAATGGGCCCATCTCGACTTCGCTGTTTCAAACAAAGGACATCCTCGTCGACAGGGGATCCTCAATTCAAACTTTTATAAACAACTGCAAGCCGGAGAAAGCTACCTTCGATCGTTCCATGCAATGGTCTTAATTCGCGCGTCCTTGTTCACATTATATTTCATCGTTGCAAACGACACAAAATGGGAAAAAAAAAAAACATTCTGTGTGTACCGCATTTAAATCGGCAAAAAACCTCGAAGGGAAGTTCAATCGCTCTAAACTGATACAATATTTTGAGTGCTCAGCTCCGATTTTTATGGGTGGAGGAGCGTTCAGTGCCACGCTTCTCGGCATCACCGCACTGGGGGGTGCCAGAACGATGGACGACAAACGTTTCCAATGAGTTGAAAAACGCTGTCCGCAGCACACAAGAACGCAAGTCGAATAGCCAGCACTTTGAAGCACCCAATCATCAACGCGGAAGCGGCGTGCAGAGCACTTTTCGCCAACATTTCTAACCACTCAGCAAGGCCGTGGAACCTCACGCTCGCTAGATGGTGCTGCTGTATTCAAAATGGCGCTACCCACGATAAAACGGTCTATAGACGGCACCTTTGAGCACGAATTCGGTAAATACGTTCATTTTTTGTCTCGTTATTATGGACATGTCACATTAAGGACGCTTTTTTCGATGGAACGGACGTGCCCATATTAACGAGGCGTCACTGCAATTATATATCATGCAATCAGATGTTTACTTTGGTATATTTTTGTTGTTTTGCCACTATTTCCCATTGTAGTATTTATTGAAGCTAAAGTACGAATACGAGCTAGATAGTTGAAGGCAGACATTCTTCGCCCAGCAGCGTACAGATAACAGGACAAACTGAAACCCGTTATTCCTCATGTTCCAAAGGCTAAAACGTGTAAAACTATTGTTTCACTTAAGTGTCCTGTTGTGTTAAAAAAAATAGGTATACTAGTTGCTCCCAAAAGTGAAGGCCGTCCTGTGACTGCTGCCCTGCGCAGGGTTGCCGGCGGTGGTGGTCGCCGTGTGGGCCGCCACCAAGGCCATCTTCAGTCCCAATCACAACGATCCGGTTCTCTCGGACGGAATGTGAGTACGGTTCGCCCTCGAAAATTCCACGGGAAAAATAAAATATCTTCGCAATCTTGAGTCACAAAGGAAACGCTATTCAAATATTTTTGCCATCCTAGGTGGGCGGGGTACAAAACCTGACATGATGTTACATTTCAGCTCTAGATTCGACTCTTCAGCCAAAAGTTTTGGCGAATTTTTTTTTACGTGACTTTTGTAAAAGAAACATGCTCGGAAGTTTCGACATCAGCGCTGCTTTTATATTTTGAGCCCCAGTTCTGCTACAGACTTCCGCCTTATCGTAGGTAGATAAGCAACCGCGTTTATGAGAGATCGAGAGCGTTCTCCTGTCGCCAATGGGTGCTTCTTTTCCTAAACTTTATGGTACATGCCTAGAATATCATGAATCGCGAGACTAAAGGAGGAATTCCGTGTTCGGTCTAAAACTTTGTCTTCTTCGAATAAGACTTGATTGACATAACGGGCAACATGAGCGGCCTGCCCGCAAGCGCGTATTCGGATATGTCCGGAATGTCAGATGCATATCCTGAAGAAGTCGAGGATGTCACACTTGCGTTTATATATTTATAAGAACTAACTATGAGGGATGATGGTTTCAAACCATGGCACACGTTTTTGCTGTCTCACACATATTTACGTTACGTTAAAAGAGGTGCTAATAAAAAAAATATTAAAAATTGTCATTTTGTTGTGCGTTGCTGACATGTAGAATCGGTCGGAAACCATACCTTGTTTCACATATTATAAGAACGGGACAAAATAACCGGGTCTGTTCGTCCTTTTATGTCATGTTCCTATAATTTGTAAATAGTCCAACCAACCCGCATATCCTGATAATGACGTAACTTCCTTTCGGTTGATCTTTATATTCTAGCAAAATTATATGAAAGAATCGGTTTTTACAACATCTACGAGAATTTAAATAATTAAAACCTTTGCGGTTTAAAAAAAACCTAAAAAGCAAAAAAAAAATGTTTAGCAGTCTGGTTGGGACACGTGTGTCAAGAAATAAAATTTACGCGAAAGAACAAAAATTAAAGCATTATGGACGGCGCGAGATATATTTGAAATTCTGCGCGCAAAGTCCATGACGTCGTGGAATGTTCACACACTTTTTCCACCTCAACGAGATGGTCTTGCACACTCTCCACCTCAACCTCATGGTCAAGCCGATCTACCTCTCCTCCACGCGCCCAAAATGTACTGAAAGTACATTGTAATTGTATGTACTGAGAGTACATTGTACGTTGTAACAATGTACTGAGAGTACATCGTACATTGTAACAATGTACTAAGAGTACATTGTACATTGTAACAATGTACTGAGAGTACATCGTACATTGTAACAATGTACTGAGAGTACATTGTACATTGTACACTACCGTAATGAACTAGTGGAAAGGAGGTGCACTACCGACTAAATCACGTTTCGCGCCGTCAATATTGCACTAAACATTTTTTTCGCGTAAAACATTTTTTTTTACACTAGTGTCCCATTTAGTCTGTTTAAAAAAATCATTTTTTGTTTCTTTTTTTTGTGAATTTTTAAAGGGCATTCGTTAAGACAAAACCGTTGATTGCAACGAATTGTCCTTCTGTTTTTCTTTCCAGATGTGTTTGGCAGCTGAAAGACATCTACGATTGCATTTTTATATGTCCCGTCGTCATTGTGCTTCTTGTAAGTTATTTTTATCAATATTTGTGAGAACCTAAACGATGCTCGAATAAAACAAAAACAAAAAAGCAACTGATCCAATTTGAACAAATGTTAAAACATTCAAATGTTCTTTTTTTTAAAGCGGTGTACGATGTAGAAAACATCTTAAACACACACACACTCACACACGTACACACACACACAGAAAAAACACGTTTCGATGATGTATTTGAGTCAGCTATTGGAAGTGCCAGCCCGACGCACGAATTTGATATGTCTGTTTTAAGCTACTTGATGTCTTCGGTTTTAAACTTTAATGCCTGGTTTGATGCTTAAGTAGCGTACGTGAACCTTCTCCAGGAATTATGCATGTTCCTCCTCATAAAGGTTTTTGCCCTTTTTGCAGACATCGCCAAACTTATGTCTAGGATAATTTTGAGAAGCAACATTTCTGGAAACTAAAATTAATTGACACCTACGAGGAACTTCTGACTGCTGAAAGTGCTTCACATCGAACGGATCTAAGCTATTTCAGTAGTAGATTAAATCTGGGTTAGACTTTATATTTAAGCGACTTGCACATGATCCCATCAAAAACTTATTTTGTCTCATCTTTCTCGGGTTCAGTGCGTGTTGTAAAATAAAAGCAAGTATAAAGTTAATGTTTAATTGTACGTACTTGCGGCCTCCCAGTAGAACCGCCTCGTCGTAAAGTACGTTTTTAAATTCCTGGAAATGTCATCACAATATTTGTATATGTTATATCTTGGTTATATAAATCTTTGCGATCAAGGTTCTACCGTATTTTCTTTTTTTTTTATTTGTAGACTTTGCACGTCATTTGTACAGCACATATCTAATTTTGGCTAAACAAAAACTAAAAAGAAGACGAACATCATAAACACGCTATGAATTAAAACTAAAAATGAGATGAAAAGGGCTCTCTTACCCTCGCCAGTTTGAATTGAACTCTAACTTTGTGTTTATTTTTTTTTTTAATTGAAGAAATCAAAACAGGTTCCGTTGCGGTTGTTCGGAGCGTACACTACGCCTACCATGTTTATTTTCAGAAATGTAATTATCCAGTGAGTTACTTACTTTTTATTCTTAACTATGTTCTACGCATCGAACGTGTGTTCATGTCCTGCGCTAGTGGTCCTGAAAAGCCCAAAAACATGCATACGCACAACGTTAAAAACACGTATAGACAACCCTTAAGAAACGAGTATTCATTTGAATACATATAGCCGGCTTTGGTATTGTTGTATTATTCTTTTTTCAAACCAAGAAAAATATTGTTGACCTCGTGCAAGCACTCCAGTAAATTGTTCCCGTCCAGATTCAATACCAGAGCGGGAGAAATGTTAGGTAAGAGTTTCGGGTATGATTTCAGGTGAACATATTCTTCATGGGTGAAATCATGTGGGTGCTCATCACAAAACTCCGGGCGGCTACCACGTTGGAAACCCAACAGTACAGGTAGGCTGTTAAAAGGAAAACTTATTAAATGATAAACATTTTGCAAGTCACCTGACTAGAGGCCATTATCAATTTATTATGGGACTTCATCTTATTACGAGCCTTATTTTTCTCGACGAAAGTTCTTTTTTGTGGGTAGTAATAGAGAGTTCAAATAGTGACGATATAGGCAGATCACAATATTTCACGACAAAATTAACACACTGGAGGTTCCTCTCTTTTTTTTTTTTTTTTGGATACTAAAGCGAATTCGTGAAGGGTTTAGCTTGAACTTACAAAAACGAGCGCAGGAAGGACAGAGCAGCATAATACAACAGACTAACAACTTTGGCTTAGTACACATATTCATATTAGTAATCGTCTCCTTGAGTGACCGTTCACATATAAAAAAAATACACAATAACTATCAGTTACAAAGAAGGTTTACACGAGTAAATAAATAAATCTATCCTCGCACATGAAGAGCAAAGCAAGTCATCTGTTTTGTGCTGTTCCGTCCGTTCCACATTCGTGTGTGTAAGTTCGAGCTGACCCCGTACCAATATGTACCAGCTATTTCCACCAAAGCCTGCAAGAAAAACGGTCCCTGAATTGATTCACCCTCCAACTCGTCGAAAACTCTTCCCTTTGTTCAAACTTTTCAGAATACGTGCAAATCCAAAACAACGTTGGTTTATTGAGCGAACTTCGAATGCATTCCCTCGAAGCCTCCTAAATCTGACTCTCCGTCTTGCAGGAAAGCAGCCAAGGCCCTGCTGGTGCTCATTCCTCTCTTGGGGGTCACCTACATCTTAGTCATATGGACGCCGTCTCACAAAACGGCCCGGATCATCTTCACCTACCTTCAGATCACGCTCTTGTCCACACAGGTACTCGTCGCTTTCGTGCATTCACGCCGACGCCCCTTCGAAGGTCAATTGACCCGCCTGCGCCAGTCACCCACAGTCGGAAGGAGCGCGGGCGCATTATGTTCGCGCTGGGTGACTTGTCGTTTGGCTGCTCCGAACTCAGCACGCTCGGCATTTACCGCGCTGTCAGTGGCGCAGCAAAGGCACAAAGACGGCGCTCGTGCTCTTCGTACCTTTGGGATCCCCAGCAAAACTCTTGGCGCACAACGGCCAATGCCCCGTGGTCCCGCGTCTTTCTTTTATCGGTTTAGCCGGAATAGAAAACGCACCTATAGGCGGCGAGCGGCGTGACGATGCGTTTTTGGTTCGTCTGCTCGGTTGGTTTCAACAGGGCGTCGAATGGGGTCCAACTCACTGGGAAACCGAGTACCATATTTTGTGGGCTAGAGTCTAGGGACTGTACTGGTTTAAACTTTTAAAACTTACCCGATACGGACTATACAGACGTGCGGACTATACGATGATTTTTTTTTTCCTCTATAGGTCGTTCACTGTCAGAAAGACGCGATGCGAAGGATTTTAATAACAGCGGAGAATATTAATGTCGATTTATGTATTATAATAGCTTCTTAGTGAGCTAATACAGCCGGCATCTGTCAAGGTGTGCTGTGTATGATAATGTTTACTTTAGAAGTACTCATTGAAGGCGGGCAATGCAGGACCATGCACCGAGTGCGGACTATCTAAGCAAAAACATTTATTTTTCACTCCAAATTACCGCCCGCGGACTATACACATTGTGCATAGTCCGCGGTATATATGGGAAGTAAAAGGCAGGGGCGGAGCCAAGGGGAGACAACTGGGGCGGCCGCCCCCTCCCCCCCCCCCCCCCCCCTCCCCGCTTCTCGGTGGCCAATTTGACACGGGTGGACCCCCCGGTGCACACGAAAGAATGGAGTTCTTTCGTTCTGGAAGTTCTCCGTTTTGGGAGTTCTGGATCCGCCCCTGGTAAGAGGTAACATATTCGGTAAGTCATTACGAGCCGATCCTCTCCGAGTACGAAATGAGAATAATGCATAGGAAAACTTCTAAAGGATATGCGAGAAGCGGAATTTAGAAAAAGTTGTGGAACGCGTCCTGAGAGCGTGCAGCAGCTCTCATCCGCGGAATATCCGATACAATGTACGCCCCCACGCACCCCAGCAACTCGACATTTAAACGCTGGAAACACATACACGTCGCCATTTCTTTGTTCATGATGCCGCACCACACCGCCAGTTTGTACTGCAAGAAATGTCGCAACTTCTTAAGAAGCGCGAAGAACGCAAAATGCTTAAAAACCGGTCTCGTCTCAGTAAATCGGAGTCAAGCGCAAGTGTGTGAACGGCCCCACCTAAATATAGAACGCATTCACTGGACGCCATATTTGAGGGCGATGTTTAGGGCGATATATGCTCAGAACGAGCTTACATTAATAGGCTGCTAAGACAGGCAATCTTCATGGTGTGGAATGCACGTTGCAAATGAACTGTGGAAGCTCGCCGTCAGCATGCGCTCATCAACCACGCACACAGATATGGCCGCCAGTGAATACTCCCTATACTCCGTCTCGGCTCAAGATGAACCGCAACGGACGATACGAGCCACACCAGCCGATCCAAGGCGGTGAACGTACCACGCGACTTTGCGCCCCGCGTGCCGTTGCTTCCCTCCCAAAGCACGCGTCACCCTCACGCCGACATGTACACGTACTGAAATTAGGCAAGTAAATATCGGTACTCGCGTAAAACGTAAGCAAGTACGTTACTCGTTACCGATATTAAAACAAGAAACGCCTTAGTTCACTTTGAATATATCGCATTTTTGACGCCTCCAATTCGTATGCGCCGAGAAAGTGAGGGATAGGAGGCGAGGAGAAGGGGTGTCAGAACGCGGAGCTCTGATTGGTGGGATTAGGGGGTAGGCCGGAAGCTAGCGGCCTTTGTCTTCACTGGACTCGTCGAACGCGTTACAACGGGAAAGGCAGGCGTCCGGCTTTTGGCTCTCGTACTCGAACGCGTCGGACGAGCTCAAAATCAAAATCCAAAACCATCACAAAGTAATTAATTTATTTGCTGGTTCCTTTTCTCGAAAAGAAACCCTTACTTCGATATTGGAAAAAAGTATCTAGATTCAAGTAACGCGCGTCAATAGCAGAGCGTTACGTACAAGTCTGCGCTCACATGGCGTTGGAGTGGCTTCGACAAAGAGATAGAAGGCAGCGCCCTCCGCCGTCTATGGCAGGCTAAAACGGAGTTGTCGTCACCGATAGCGCGTTCATGATCCTCGGCCAGGTTTTCTGCGGAGCGAGTAATCCAATTAGAAATTTCTCCGCGGCAGTTAAACAAGGTTTGCCCATCGACCCGGAACATTTTTGCCGGCACGCTCAAGCGCATTAACCGTGTCAGAAATCGAACTCTTTGCGGTGTCGGGTTCAGTCGAGGCCCGGAACATAAATGGATAAACCTAGCGTTCAAAATCAGTTAGTGTGTCGGCCTTCGAGATACCAAGCTCCTCTTCACCGTCCGCGTGACTCCTACTTATCGTTTATTCGATCGGAAGTTCTTATTTGCATATACATCGTCAAGAATTTACGTAAAAGAACAAACATCTCGGGTTTCGGGTCTTTTTCCTTTCTGTTACGTTCTGTTGGCGGAGATTCAACGTTATTACGGAAAGCGTGCGACAAGAAAGTGGCGCCACGGTGCGGCTTCTAGTGGAAGCATTTCGTATTGAACACGACCGGACTGGTATGCATGCTGTGTAGAGCCAACCTTATAGTGAATTCCGCTCGTAGATTTCGAGCGCTCCAAAAGCGCTCTTTTCGGAACGAGCATCTTCCACTGGCAGATTCGGCTCAAGTTGGTTATCTTCCATTCGTAGATTTGTGGCAGCGACCGCCTCGCGGAGCGCCTCCAACCCCTGCCGAACTTGATTCGTGGGATTTCATGGAGCTTGGTGGAAGTTGACAGATGCGCGCTACGTCATTTCATTTCACTCGGCGGTGCGCATGCGCGGTGAGGTCAGGAGTAGGCAGCCGTGGCCTTCCCAAGCGAAGCGCACCAGACACGTGTCATTATCGCTAGACGTCACGTTTTATGACGTATCTCATGTAGACATGAAAGTAAATATCTTCCACAGACATCTGTCTGGTTTGGGGAACAATCCGAAAAAAAGCAAACTCAAACCAAAAGCTTAGAAACAAACAGTTCCCAACGTTTTGGGGTCGACTTGACTCCTTCTTCAAGGGCGACTCAAAATGGAATGGGACAGCGCGAGCTTCAACCTCTCCTTCCTCTTCTACTGAGTTGATGTTTTGTGAACGGGACGCAGGCCATGGACGTAAATAGATGGCCCCGAGGGACCTGTTAATGTTCCCCGGTGTGTTCTGGATATGCCACGACTCCAGAAACAGATGTTTCCGAATATGTGGCTCCGTGTCTATCATGGAGCCACGTATTTGTGTCCGTGTTCATCATGTAGACATCACTTCGCGCTCGGAAAGCTCGATAGATGGTGCTAGCTGTCCCCCGGACGCGCGCTTAAAAAAAACTGCTCAAACCTTTTCATTTTTTTTTTTTAATGTTGAACAGCTTTTTTTTCCGATTAGTCAAATAATGAAAGTCAGCACGTCAAATATTCGTTTGAAAGCAGCACTCTTGTCGAGGTTGCGAGTTCGCCGGACCGGCCGGGCCGTCGAGTTGGGTGTGATCGGATGCATGCGCGGGTTGTTTACGCGGGATACGGCTCGAACGCTTCTGCATCGCGTAGATCAGGGATACAAAGCCGGGACCGGAGCTTGGAAAATCGTAAGCGCTGACATCTGGGATCGTAACAGGAAGAACGAGGAAAAGAATGACAGAAAATCTGAAGGAGACAGACGGAAAGTTAGGCCTGTTGATTTCTCCGCCACTGATTGCTTACCTTTTTACACCACATGCCGCCAGCATTTTCCCGAGCAACGAAGCAAGAACAGATTAGGCAACGACCGCGCAAGCGATGGTTTATTACCTCTTTATATTTATTAAAGTCTTACCAGCAATCTCAACTCCACCGATGGCGATCGCTGTGCGTGCCCCCAGTTCGAGGCGGCCGAAAGCTGTGGGACGATGGCGAAAGCGAACGTCTCCCTCGTTATTTGAGACATGGGCTCCCTGATACGGATATTTTCGCCCGGCATCTGTCGCGTGTTATTTCTGCAGCTAGACATTGACAGTTATGAGTGCTCATCGGAAAGCTCAGTCGGCTAAGGCGTTGGTCGGCTTGTCAAGTTCGAGCAGCGGCCATTTTGAAGGGTCGACCGTCTCGGGCGGGTCGCTCCAAAAATGTGAGCCGATCTTCCGCTCGTCGATTTGTGGCGGGCCCCACGGAGCGGTATTTTGACTCCCTCGTGAATTTCGGAAAGCGCCCTGGATCTACCATGGAATTGACCATTAGGGTTTAATTAATATGAGCTTACCTGAGCACACCGTTGTTGGCGACGAGATGTTTTGGCGGCGCCACCTCGCGGGCGCCACCATGACAAACTGTGGAGGAAATTCGAACATTTTGGATTTGGAACAGAGACTATCAAACTACTTGAAACCTTATACAAAGACTGCAGAGCCTCCTACAAATTCGGGCCATACACATCAGAAGAAGTATCGACGGAAATTGGACAGAGACGGGGATGTCCACTATCTCCTATGCTCTTCAACATCTACATCAATGACTTGATCGCCAAACTAGAGGAAAAAGAACCATGGGGCTTCGCTTTACATCTGTGACCAATGAAGGTGACCGGGGGTACACCAGGATCCCCTGCCTCGCCTTTGCGGGCGACTTGGTGTTGCTTGCCGAGTCCGAGGCGAATATGCAGCACCTTCTGGACATCTGTGCAGAGGTAGCACATCAAGACGGGTTCCGGTATAACAAGAGAAGAACTCAGTGGATGCCGTTCAATTCAACGGAGACAGCTCGAAGAAACTACAGAATACATATAC